CAAAAATGAAGAAAGGAATTTCATTCCACACAAAGTGGAAAAAAAACACGTCCATCTATTCATTTATGAACTGGTAACTTTGGCAGAACTCATTATGCCATTTTTGAGGCTCATACCTCCTTTCATATGTTATACAGATAGTCTAGGAATCATGTTTGGATGCTAGGATCTCTAGTAGTCATTAGGGTATAGAACTCAGGTGATGTAACCAGCCAATATAAAAAAATTCACTTTGTGGAGCTGCTCATGAAGTTATTAGAAATGACTATGACTTAAGACATGCTGCCTGAACGCACCCTACAAACCATTTCTCCTATCCATCCCTTCCTAGTCCCACTGCTTTTTAGAAGCATGCTTCCTGGCTCTCTCCTCCTTTCACCACTACTTGGAAGAAGATGACAACTACAGGACAGTATGGACCACAGATTGAACCCTGAATGGTCACTAGCTAGAGATACTTACGTATATTTACAAAAATGGTTCAGCTACAGACTGCCTTGGAAGACAACAGTCCCAGTAGTATAGACTTATTACACAAAAGCTGCAGAGTCAAACTCTTTCCACACAAGCATACAGACATATTATTAACATTTATACCTACTGAAAACACAACCTTCATGACTCTATCCTTACAATTAAAACTTTAAACTTTGTCTTTCTAAGCTGCACGACAGAGACACTTTTTTTAAGAATTTGTACAACTGGCATCAGATCTCTTAATATCCTAGAAAGAATTGAGCCAAAGATGATATCACAAAGTCTCTTATGCTTAAGGGAAAATGTTAAATCAATTAGCAGTTGCTAGAATAAAGAAGAAACAGTTTGATGTACAAGTTCCTTAAAAAAATACCAAACTTTTCATCTTCTGAAAGCGGTTATGTTACGCAACACGAGAACTGCAACATACTCTCACTTCTTTAATGTTTCAAAAGTCTTATTAGCATATGGTTCAGAAATTATAATCAAAGAGTAGTAGTCACTAGCCATAACTTTGAAGAGTTTATAAACATACATGTAGAGACTATGCCTTAGAGGGTTAATGTACTATTTTGAACTCCAGTATTGCAATAGGACTTAGTTTTGACACAGAGCATTCACACCCTCTGTAATAAATTCTTTTAACATACTTCATACTTCTTCCCATGTGAATGAATGTCCTTGGAAGAATTATCTACTAGATAAAATTTGAAGATTAAATCTAAGTTTAGACTTATTTAAGGGGGCTGGAGACTGATCTTATAGTCTACAACAGTTGTTGATTAATGAGCTGCTCCTGATTGCTGTAGGCCTGTCCAAACTGCAGAAGCTAACGACAGTATAGGACTGGGAGGAATGTGTTCTCTGGATGCCACACCTTTCTTGAAACTTAGAACTCACTTTGACTTCAACTACATTTATTAGCCTCTAACCACCATATGTGCGTGACCAGATACATGGTAGCACACATGTGTGAGTACATGAGTTTGCTACTTGACTGCTGCTTCTGTGGCAGAATTTCTGTATTATAGAGCTTCCACAGTGTAAGTATGGGCACTTGTAGCAGACACAGTGCATGCTGTCTGGGGTTCAAGGTTTTTGCTGGTAGTGCTCTTGCACAAACAAATCCAAAACTTCCTGGGGTAGAATAGTACTATCATATCTTGAGGGGGTTTGGTCTCATCTGACAGTCTGAAGAATTTTATTTATATGTACACATATGCATATGTGCATACATATACATATGCATGCATATGACATGTCAGTATACACACATATATATTATACTGCATAATGAACACATTGCATAAACACAGTACATTCTGCATAACTAAGGAAACTTCTAATCAACTCTGTTTCAAGGTTAAAACTGAACATGATCTAAATCTGTAATAAAAAAGGTATCTTATCTTTGGTGATAACCTTATAACTTCTCATTACATAGTTCAAAAACCTTTTCAGAAAATTTTTAAAGCTTTCCTGACTTTGCTTCTAAAAAAACAATGTTCTTAAAAGTGAAAACAACCCATAACAATTCTTAAAAGTGTTCACTGCATCCTGGTGTCAGAGCTCCAGACTTAGAAAAAACAAAAGCTAAGAGAGAAAAGGCAGAAACAGAAAAACTAGTCTTTGTAATCCCTCAAAATACACAAGAGGAATTTCATTACCTTTAGCTGAACACATCTCTCCTTTTGGTTTATCCGTTCGCAATTATTCTCCTTTTTCTCGCTTTTGGAGATAGCTGTCTTTCTAAAAGTGTGTAGAAAAGAACATCTTAAAATAACTGCATCATCATGACCATTATCACATCTTGACTACACTGACTGGAAGTCCCATGGCTTTTCAGCAGTGTCATTAGGTGCAAGAACAAGGCTAAAATCCCACAGATGAGACAGGAAAGCACATCATGTTCAGTGTACACCATACAAAGCACCAATGGTTTTTAATTGTATTTTTTAAATTGTAAATCCTCTCTTTAATCTCAGTAGAAACCTTTTCAGATATTTTGTTCCATGGAAAAGCAACGAAACAAAAACTAAGTTGGTGATAAATTAAGATGTTTCAATTACTTTCAACTTTGTATCTATGAGTTGGTTTTGGTATGTGAAGTGACACTAGTACCAAACCCCTTACTTTACTCCCTAAGTCTGCCAAAATCAGATTCCAAATACCATGATATTCTGCCCTCTTGTGTGCTGGAGAGACCTGTTATTTTTTTGTTCTGTTCAACAAATCTGATTATGGTTAAATGCATCAAAGAGCAATGACTGAGGAAAATATGAAACAGCTGCAAATGATATATCCTGATGTTTACTATTTTGAATGCAGCTGGTTAAAAGCAGTTCTAGAAAAGCATTGATGTGAACCTTGGTGTAGGACTATGAGTAAATGCACACAGACTGACAGAATTTCAACAACAGTTTGGCACAAATGGCTCTACAAATCTCATAGAAATGTTCCACAGAACAACATACTCCAGGTGCTCTTAACTGTATCACTATATAATCTCAGAATAAATAAAATACTCTATTCCTTTATAGCAGGTGAGATACTCAAAACTACTGAACTGACTTAAGCCACTCACAAAATTCTGAAAACTCTATCGAGAAATTAAATAAAACGAGTAAGAATGTTATTTACTTCAATAATACTGAAGACACAAATGCTTTCATAAATTAAAGGCTAAAATCATACATGTTTACAATGTCACACATTAATTTCTGCATGAAACTGAGAATTTCTAGGCAATTTAGTAAGTTTGAACTTGTACTTACACTGTTGAGAGGTAATCGGCTGAAGGCAACAGACCTACCTGTATTATAACTTTTCAATATCCAACTCAGCAGAGAAGTGCAGAAGAACTCATTATCCACTTGAGCTCATCAGGAGCAGGAGGAAAAGCTGAGGCCTAGGGACCGTGAGATAACCTTTCAGGAAGCCATCAAGGACCAGGGCTTACTTACCCATGAGGTACCATGGAGAGAAGCATGGCTTTACCAGGAACTGAAAGAGCTGAGCATAAGCACTTGCAGGAGCATTTGCTAGATCATAACTTCCATAAGGAAAAGTCAGCCTTTATAACAGGATTTCTGTTACAAATCACCCTCTTGCGGAAGCAGAATTCTAACACTGCTATTAATCGTGAGCACTGCAACCGTCATAACACGTCACTTAATAACAGTAAGTGTTTAATACAACTCTTGATAAAATACTGTTCCTTCAGAACTATTTCAATATGACTAGAAAGTTCCTTTAAAAACTGTCCTACTGGTACTCACTTTGTAATAATATTCAAGTTGCTGACTTCAAAGAAGGGACTCAAACTGCTACATTATGACAGTATCTTTTCCTGAGAAAAGGAATGGAGAGACCACTGTGACAGTAAAACTATTTTCTGAGATCAAGACTAGGCACAAATCTACACAGTCTTATGCCAGTCAGTGCTTGTTAGAAAAATAAAGGCAGCTCAATAACCAGACTGTATATCAAATTTATGAAACAGAAACCCATCAGCATAAACTTAATATCTTCTTCTCCTATTAACATAATTATTTCCTACTCAGTAAAAATGAAAATGACATGTTAGCATTTCAAAAACAGGAGAAAATGACCCTCTAGGCTTTATATGACTATCAAAACAAGCACCCGTACTTTATTTGCAAATTACTGTGAATGTAATGATCAACTCGGCAAGTTTACCAGTCAACAAAGTGTGTGCTCTACCAGTTACAATCAATTTACATGTAATGATATGTCTAAATATGAATTTAAATGAGTTCTTGTCATTTCACATTGATCGGCTGCTTTATAATCATAAATATGGACAGTGACCACAGTTAATGTTGCAGAAACAGCAGAGCATGTACAAGTTTCATGAGGCAATGGTAACCAAACATGAAGAAATCTGTTTTTATATAAAAAGACAGCGCCTGACTGCTAAGCCATGTTTATTTTCCAGTCAAGTTAACAAACATACTTTCTAAGAGGTTACTTTCAGACAGTTGCTGTATATGCCATGTCCACAGCAAATATACAGTATGAATCACAACAGCTTTCTCACCTCATAACCTACTGGATTTCTCTTTAAATGTAAGAAAAGAACCCTGAGGCTGCCACAGCATAAAGAACATTTCAATATCATCCCCGTTGTATATACATATACATTATTAGGACCTGCAAAAATAATATTCTGGAGATTAAGAGAATTATAGTTTCTTTAACAGTGCATTAGTTGCATCCCTGCACAACAATCTTCAATACAATCATCGAAAAACTAAAATAACTGGGGCAAGCAAAATAGAGTTACTTCATAGCAGACACTGCTGATCTGATACATTGGAAAAATGCAAGACAAAGCCAGGTTTAACATACAAGGATCCATAATTAAAGGCTGGCCTTGAAAATGTCTTCATTTAATACAATTAAATGAATATAATGGCAATTACTTCATCAAAAGGATGCCATTATGTGGTAAAGTTAATTTCATTTTACTTAGAATAGCGTAAGATAAATAAAGCTTAACATTTTCCAAATAATAATCCTTTTCATTTCCCTTAGCTTTATTGATGATGCACATATTCAGGTAGAATACTCAACTATAACTTTTACTGATATACAGAATCATTTTAATGCTTATTCAGTACAATCTCTTGTTTTCAGTGTTTGGTAGTCACTTTTGTTTCAATAAAACGATACAGCAGATTTATACTTAACATTACATACAGGTTTTGTCTATACAAAGAATTTACAAAGCTTTTTCAACTGTGCAATGGTATGTCTCATACATACGAAATTTTTAAAATGCTGTATGAAGCTTTGACCTTGCCAATACACAGATCAACCTTCAGAAACTGTAATACGCATGAGTGGACACACATTTCTATCTGTGCCCAGTACAAGTATGGACATATTCAAAATGTTGTAACATCAGTATGATTTGCTTTTATTTTGGTGGTTGTGATATTCCAGGTGCAGATGCAAAGTGCACCTTAATGGTCCTCATAGTACTTTTATCCCCTTGTATTTTAAAGGCATCAGCTTCTTTTATTCTCCCTTGTAGCGAGGAGGTCTCTTCTCCTTAAATGCAAGAAGACCTTCAATTCTATCTTTTGTTGGAATAGTCTGCAATGAGCAGAGTAACAATTCATTATTGATGCCAAAAAACAATACCAAGAAAAATATTTTCATACAAATCCTAGTTCTTCAATTTATCCAACATGTAACATATAATACAAAACTAAAATAAAAAGTGCAACATCTAGTCAGATACAGGGAAATACCAGACACTTCAAAGACACAAAATAAGGCTGAGAAACTATTTGGGAGAAGGAATATCTTTTCTCCAAACAGATGACAGTGAAAACCTCTTTAGGGTTTGGGTTTGAGTTTTTGGGGGTTTGCTTTTGGGTTTTTCTTTTGTTTGTTTGTTTTTGGTTTTGTCTTTTTTTTCTTTGGGGGGGGGCGGGGGGGTTGTAGGTTATTAATCACACTGTGTGTTTTAAATAAACATCTAACACTGATACTTTCATCTCCATGATCTTGAAGTCCAAGAACATACAACACATCATTCTGTGTTTTGCTGGCAAAGATGTTTGTCTCAGTTATCCGTTGGTTGGCACATACGCCATTAATAGCATATGCTAGTAAAGTGCCCTTTATGTTATTTCATGTTAAACCAAAACAAAGCATAAGCAAGGCAGTTCTTGGATGGGATGTATGGCAGTGTATGACTGGCTAGGTACATGGCTGGTAGTGCTTCACTACCTTCGCCCTAACAGTCTTGGTAGGGAGATATTTTTGTCCTAAACTTCACCTCCTTCCTTAAATTCCTTACAAAACCATAGCATGTAGAAGGAAGGTCTAAATACAATGATAAAATATTTGTAGAAGAAACCACAGAGCAATTTCTAGTTCATTTTCTGCAAGTTTCATAAGAGGAACCAACAAAGCCTGTTTTCTGGGTTTTTTCATGTAATCGTAGTTACATACCTGAGCGTAACAAGCTTCTTCAATTGCTAAACCTGTTACTAGGTCAACCTGAGGAGAAGAATACAAAGTTTTTTAAAAGCATATTTTTGTACATTATATTATTTCCTGACAGCTAAATTAAATACTGTGTTTCTATATGCTACATACTAAAACACTTCTGCAAAGTTCTTCTATGCTACTTTAACACAGAAAAGCTACACTGCCATGATTGATTAGTATTTCTGCTACAGTTTTCTTATTTGGTGATATCATCAGTATATAATACACTATTAGAACAATGTATGTTCTTCACTACAAATTATCTGGACTAAAAACCACTAGCTACTTCCACATTTGTAGTAATTTCATTTACTACAAGGGAAAAGATATAATGTACTGCATAGTTATTTAAAAATTGCTCTGAAACAAGTTCTGTTCAAAAGGTCATGCAAGAACAGGATGCCATGCTACAAAGTAAACATAAATTCAAGTCTAAAGGGATTTTAAATAAAAAAACAAGAGGACAAGGGCCATCCTGCATCATCAACTAGTATTAACATTTTTTCTTCATTAACTGGTCTGAACAGCTGAAAAGGCTGGATTTTCCCCTCACTGCTTCTTCATCTGTCTTAAGTATCAACTGCTGCAGAATTTAGCAGCTCTTCACATGGCTACTGAAAAGACTGTGGCTGTGCACCACAGGCAATCTGTCAAGGGGAGATAAGCTATAGGATAGATTAGCAAAGGAAGCCATGAAAGCTATGCCATGGAAGGTTTGTGACAACAGACTGAATGAACATTTGGCTTGATTGGTTTTGATACAGTAAATCTAGTCTTGGGGCCCCAAGATTGAACTAGATGGTCATTCAGAGTCCTTCTAACCCTGCTGTCTCTAACTGCACAAACATCATGATTCCAATCTTTCAGTCCACTAGACCAGATAGTGACGTAATTTAGCTTGTAGCACTTTTAATCTTGTGTACCACTGAAATAGATCTTGAATTCCACCATTACTTGCTGCAGAAATGAACATACTATCTGCACAACAGCAAACAGCATCTGAGTTTGGTTCTCAGGCCAAAGCTTACCAGTGGTACACTTTGCTGAACTCAATTATATCACTGGTTGCTTCTGACACTTCAAGAAAAAAAGGACCATTCTTAAATTCATCTTCTTGGATTCAGATGTTGCCTGCAGTGTGACCCCTTTCCTTGTCTCAGATGGAGCTATAAAGTGTCCTGGTGCAGAGCTTATGCATGCACTTAACTTTATGCTTAGTCCTGGTGAGGTCAGCAAGATGCTTCAGAAGCCTAAGTAAAACACATCTCCAGACATGTTCAGGGCTGGATTTTAATGAGCTTTAGAGCTAGGTCAATAGTGTTGAAGAAGGAGTGGCAATCAAAATCAAGTATTAAATCAGACTCCAGATAGAATTTTAACATTAACCTCTATTAAACTATTAAAAATAAATAATATGCCTTTTGGCCTTTATTAGAGACTGAATACTGAGAGCACCGTCAGAGCATGAATTTGAGGTTTTTTTCTGCCAGCATTTGAAGTACAATTTGTTCATAGTAGTGTATGTTTACCTTCTAGTATTAATAATTAGCAGACTGCATTACTCCTGGACACATATGAGGCTACTAAGCCTCATTACGGAAATCAGCATCAACTCTTGTCTCAGGAGAATGAGACAGAAAAAAAATTGCATTTCATCTTTTAAAAAGTTTTAACCAAACAGATTTTGAAAGACTATACACTGAGAAACTAAAAACAGGTCTAGAAAAAAATCACTACACTAGACCTGTTGTCAGCCTGACTTCTGCTTACTGTTATCAAAGTACAGATCCTTACCTCCATTCCCTGATTGATGGCCAGTTTTGCAACTCTCATTGCTACTGGTCCCTAAAATTAAAGAAAAGGCTTATTTACGTATCATAAAAATCTACAAGATTATGCAGTGGATAGTCTGTACATCAATGTTCTTATATTAGGACATTCCAGACTTTGGACTTTTATTAAATATATAGTGTATAGGTCAAGTATCCTAAATTACAGCCCTAATTAAAACACTGCCTTTGGTTTATGTTTCAAAGGTGCTGAGCATGTCCACTTTTGGCAAGCTTGCTCAACTCCCTTCAAAACAAGGCTCAGAATGGCCACCTTAAAAGACATTATTATAGGCATTTACAAGGTCCACACAATGGAGACATGTGAAAAGATAATGAAATGAAATTAACTGATGCAGCTTCAAACCTAAAATACACTGCTGCAAAGCCTGCACTGGTCCAGTGGTAACACTTCTGCGAGCATCTGAGGTTCCCAGCAAGTGGAAGGATTTCCATCCCCCTTTACACTGTGCTGCAGAATAGCGAAACATCTTTAAGAATCATCTCAGTCCTGTGCCTATCCATCAGCATCAGCTTCTGAATATTCAGGCATTGCTTTAGAGAAGTGGCCTGCTGCTTTGGGAAAAGCCAAATGCTTTTAAGCTCGTTCCAATGAGAAGTTGTAACTATAATTCAACCTTCCAGATCCACTGTATTCATATTTTTATTGTACTTTTTCATCTTTGTCTTTCTATGAGGGTGCTCAAGACACAAGTAACCAATGTTAAATGCCATATTTAATCTGTAACATTTTCCATTTTCAATGAAAAATTTGGCTGTTACACTTGTGATCCAATAAAGTGGTTTACTAATTACTTTTTTTCTTCTGCCTCCTACAAATTTGCTACCTGGGACCCTTCCCTTGAAAAGCAGGTTTATCAAAAGCTCCAAACTCACAGTCCTACTCTGAACAAACAGCCTGCAGTCTATTGCAATAGGGGAACAGGTAGCAATCAGGTATCACAAAGACTCCTGTAACGGTCATACTTAAACTTACTAAAATTTTCAAGTTCTAAAGCACAAAAATTCAGTAAATCCCATTTCCTTTTTGATGAAAGAGAGTGTGTCACTTAGAATGAATGACAATAAAGCATGATTCTTTCATCAAGCTTTTACACAAAGGACGCAAAGCAAACTTTCTGCTAGTGGATAGGTTTTACTTTAATACTGAAATTATATTTAGCTTTACATTTTCAAAATAGGATTCACACTGAGATATGTCCTCTTTCATATGGACACACATTTTGCCTCTCTTCTGAAGTGTTCAGTAGCAAAAGAATAACCTATTAAGATAACTGCTTCCCTAAAAAAACCCACCATTATGCTATTTCTTTTTAAATGTCAAAGTGAAAATATGCAATACAAACACTGTACCATGATGATACCAGGACTGACAGAGTTTTTTTGCTACCAAGTAACACCTGTCCTGGTTTGAGCTAACTAGAACTGATTTTCTATTTAGTGATTTTACTTTTCAGCTCAGTCTACATGTTTTTCCAGTATGTGCTGCTAGAAGATAAGGTCAAGGTCAAGTGTTTCATCATGGGTGCTGTGTCTGCGCCTACTCGGGGGGGAAGCAGACCCAAAACTGACCAACTAGGTATTCCATCCCGCATACGTCATAACGTCACACTTAGTATAAAGCCAAGGGATCAGGAGTGTCTCAACCCTTCTTCCATCTTGGAGCCCTTCCATCTCAGACCCTTTCGTCTGTCTTGATCCTGCAATGGTCGAAGTCTGAGCAGACCCCTGCTAGTTCGTCTGCCTCTGATCCTGCTTTGTGTTCCTGCATCCTGCTCCCACCTGCTGCTGAGTTTGGTCTGGGACTTCTCCAGTGCTCGGCTCTGCAGAGCCTCTGGTGACGTATTCGTCATTGGGGGGAAGGTGGGGGGAGGATTTTATATTGGTTTTGTGCATATTTGTACATATTTGTATATACTTCATTATTTTCCAATTTACATTATTATCCTGTAGTACTAGTATTATAGTTTTATTAAATGTTAGTTTTATTTTCCAACCCATAAAGTTTCTCTCCCTTATTCATTTGTCTTCCCTTCTGGGGAGGGGAGAGGGGTTACTAGAGAGTGTCTGTCCACGATTTAATGGCTGGCCCAGCCCTCAATCATGACACCACCACAAATAACTATACTTCTGACTGCTCTCAACGTAACTAGAATAGCTTTTTAATACATAATTTCATGACAGGTTTTCTTTTCCAGTCTTAATGTTTGGTAAAAACTAAAATCAAAATAATTTGGTTTACCTGAGGTAAAAATTCTCTTGCCAGAGCTAATGCTCTTCTGTATGCAGCATCCCCTGCTTCATTCTGTTCTACGACATGGCTAATCAATCCTATTGATTTTGCTTCCTCACCATCTACAACACGTGCAGAGAAGATTAGTTCTTTTGCCAAAGACACTCCAATTGTGCGAGGTAATCTCTGTGTCCCCCCTGAAGTTTGGAAAAAGAGAGAAAATAAGTATTAGTTTCCCATCCATTTATACAAGTGTAGATGCCTTGTTCAGTTCAAGTATTTTAATTTTAAATTCCATAAACAATTATATGAACATACAGAAATTAAACTGTCATAGAAAGGCATTCCTAAATGCTTTCTTCAGTTTTGAAACTAAATGTAAAATAAAATTAATTGCTCTGTTTCTTAGAAAGACATGTACATAACTAAAAAGAGGTCATATTAATAGAGATTCTTTTTGATTACAGACAAGTTACCTTATTCAGATCAGGCAAAAGCTGAAGGAAAACTACTTGCTAGTAATCACCATATCCAAAACTCTGCTTCTTTTAAACAATCTGTGTATTTTTATTATACTAACCACCATAGTAAGAACACTTTTGAAGAATTATACTCAGAAAGTATATATACTCTAACAAGACTCTAGTCCATGATAAAATCTGCATATGTTAGGGACAATAAAAATTTATATGTAAATTAAAATAAAGCCAACAGACAAGGTCTTAAAAAAGCTACGGTTCTATCTCTTCTTAATTTATATTACTGCTGAAATCTTAAAGTCTGATTACAAAAACTAAGGAAGCACAATGGCAGGTGTCTATCAGCAGAGAAAGGCACCTAAATTCAGTCAGCTTTTCTTACTATGTTAAAAATGTATTGGGCAGATTCACATTTTCGGAAGGCAAAGAAGCAGCAACTACATTAACCAGGCATGAGAAGAATACTCAGTTGGACTAACAATTAACTTTCCAGAACTGACAACGAAAATGTGGGAATAACTGTTATCAAAATTGAAGAAGGAGACTCAAATCACAGAAGCAGATGTTTGCATGTATTAAAACAGTGGACAAGGCCTTTATCCAGGAGAAAGGATTTTGAAAACATACAAGATCTACTCTTTTGACATGGGTCGGAAAGAAATACTCTATATAAAGAGTCTGTAAGTAAAAGTTTCTTTCCAGATAGCTATTTCCGCAGAAGCATGCTAATATATTCAAATATAAATATAAGTATATATGCAAGAGGAATATTTATAGGAGGAGTTCAAAGGGAAGTGGTACAACACTGGGTAGATGTGTGTTCAATTAATACAAAATAGATCGATTTCCACTAGATAATGCAGGACTAAGCCAGTATTATATTGAAGCTATTCAGTTCTGTTACTGATGTTTCCTGAAAATACTTTAAATACATTTTTGAGACAAATAAACTGACTGGAGGCAAACGAAAGGTTTTTGTGACTCAATGATTCAGCTTTCAACTATTGTTTTTTATGAATCACAAGCTTCAGTACTACTGTAGCCTTTTCCATAAGAAAAGACCCGCCTTTGAACACATTACATTAAAAAATTCCAAAGATTTAGGGAATTTCTGCCTTACGTCTTTCTTGTCTATTATAAGATCATGATCTATAACAAATACTAAGATACATTTTCTGGGCTGAAACTGGGGGAATTAAGAAATGCCTACACTCAGAATAGTTAAAATCTGCAGAACAACATCATTACTAACTAAATACAAATAATGTGATACTTTCTATGGCCCTACCACTCTGAGAGGATTTCAGCAAGACTGTCCTAATGGTCGAGGGCAACAGGCAACAGCAAGAGGAACTCATGTTCAATAAATCATGCTAATTCTGCTAGTAGTACAGCTAAGCCAGTGACAGAGGTAGGGTGAAAATTTTGCTAACAGCATAATTCAGAGAAAGTGCCTAATCTAGGGCATTCTTATGAAAGGGGCAGGGTGGTGCGGTGGTGGAGAGACTAAACCAAAACCCCTATGAAGTACTACAACCCCCAGAGCCTAAGCCTTCCTGCTAGCCTTGGCTGCCTCACTGATGAGATTCACAGAGACTGACTAAAGCCGCAGCTATAAAACTTTTTATGAGAACTACATGCCATAAAAATGTGAGCTGTGTTTTCAAGAAGCTTGCTGCTTCTGATACGAAGCTGTACCACCATCACCACAAACAAACATTTACTGGCTTTTTTGTTTTAAACACTGAGCATGTCTTTTAATTTCTTACCCACAGAAGCTGTCACACGCTAATCAACATCTATCCTTACACACATTTTAAGTGTACATCAGAACACAGACAATGTCTCTCTCGATTCTCTTTAAGAATAGTTTAGTTATAAATTATCCCTCTCACCATAGTAATGGAATCTAGAAAAGCATCATGTTTGGCTTTCGATTAAAGAAAACTATTTCTCCAAATAATAAGACCTGAAACCATATGAGGCTAAATTTACTGACTCCACATCTTCTGCTTATTCCTTACTTGCTATGCCTAGCCTTATTTCCAACTTAATTATCTCCCCTTCCTTTACTGTTTTATCTCTTCTATTACTGCTTTTACCAGGAAATGTTGAAAACAAAATTTAATTGAGCAACAATATTTCATAACTTTGACCAAACAATGGGTATGCTTGAGCATGAAATAGTGTTTATAGACGAAGTGTTCTTGCCAGTGTCTTACACAATAATGATTAAAGAACAAAAAAAAAGCAGACTATAGTCTAGTTGTCTGGCTGCCTCCTACACTGTAAAGCCATTAAGCAGAGGAGCATATTCTTTGATTAATATTCACAGAACAGAAGCCAACAGTTCAGTGCATCAATCATATATATTCAGTAGTAGGAATAAGATATATGCACATACAAAAAGCAGTAAGACCCAATCAATCAAATGCAAACAACACACCAAAATCCATTCAACACACCAAAGTTACATCTATTTATGAAGAAAAGACAGAGAGTATGCTGCAGATAGATGCTCTGTTTTGGTAATACAAAAAGAACACATAATGCCTGCCAACTACAATCAGTGCTAAAGGAGGTAACACCCAGTCTTCAAAGACATTACTTAACCAATGCATTTAATCTAAATGTATAGCAGAATTTGATGGAAGAATAGTTGTTTCATCTTCACAAATTTAATGACATGTTATTTCAAGGACTAGTGATCTGGTATTACTCACTATGTTGATAAAAGTATTTGACATACAGTTACAATGTAAATGTGTTCTTATCTGCAATGGTATGTATTCAATGTTGGAATAATTGTAAACAGCAGTTTCAGATGACACTCTAGTTCATGTGAAAAGACAGTAAATATGAGACTGCTAAATTCTGGTAAGAAAATTGTTAAGCAGTATTTTTTTTCTTTAGCAAATAGTTGATTTTGTATGAGTATTTATTTACTGTCAGTAATTCATCAATTACAAAATATGTACACAATTGGTTTGGATTAAGGGAATTACATGATAAATTCCCAAGAGTGTATCCAACAAGATGAAGCAACTAGCTTACTGGAAATAGATTCATCATTCTGGCAGAGAATACCTACAGTCAGTAGTTTCTCATAGCTCAAGGCTCTGTCAAAACATATTGGAAAAAATGCTGTTCTGACAAAAAAATCCAAACTTTAATTCAGCAATTATCCTGCTTATTAAGTCAAGTAAAAATGAGTCTTTCTATCCTATTCTTCCTATCACAAGCTTTGTTTTGATTCGTGATAGGTTAATTTTACTGACTTCTAGACTTATTTTTTTAAGGACTACTGTGCATTCACAATGTTTTAATAATAATCAATGATGAAACCAAAGTTTGTCAGCCACAAACTTTCTAATTATTGAAGTCAGCCAAGAAATGGCTCAAATGCATCCTTGTGATTCTTTTGCAGAAAGTTGTTAGGAGTAGATTTTTCTCCTTTCCATTGAAACTCACAGAAATATGGAACACAGAAGTTTGTTGTTCATAACATTGAATCCTTAACAATGTAAGCCCATAAATAAGCTAACATGGATAAAACTATTATTTTAATGTAATACTTTTCAGTCATGTAAGTCATATTTTAAAAGTCTGTGTAACAAACATGTTTTCCACTTTTAAAGTACCTGCCATCCATTGCTAAGTTAAGCACTTTTCAAATTATCAAACACTCTAAAAGCCTAAACACTAGCAAGACAATATTTAGCACCAAGTTTCCAACAGATTTTTCCAGATTAGGCCTTGATTCTGCAAAGTTGTACATGTTTCAGCTAACTTAAATCTAGGTATAAATCTTTATGGGCTCAGACATCCCAAATCCTTTTACAGAAGAAAATAACAAGAGCCATTCACTGGCACAAACTGGATTAACCAATGAATAACCAAAACCAGCTCAGACTAGGAAAGACACCAACGAAGATGCAAGTGATGGGGTGAAAATGGTATGGAGAATAAAAGAAACAAAACATTATCTCTGGAAGGGGAAAAAACCACTGAGCTGACGGGTAGCCAGCAGTAGGCAAGGTGACTCTCTATGTCTGGCCATAAAAGTCGTCATTTGGAAGAAGAGTGGAGACCTGAGCAAAGCCTGAGACAGTGGCCTGAGGCTGACTCAGAGGCTGCTCTGGGATCTGTGATGGCTAAGAAAGTAAGTTGTTTAAGTGAGATTTCGTACTAGGCTGCCAAAAGGGCTGGTGGCAGTGTGGCTTGCCAATCAAGCCGAAGAAAGCCCTGCAGGAATGTCAGACACAACAGTACCCAAGGCCAAAGACTACCTAGGCCAGCCTGGCAGTGGCAAACCCCAACTCCACAAGTGCCAAGTTTATTTGCAAACCAGCCCTTTTATGGATTTTCACAATCCGTTTTATTCATCTGCATCTGTGGATTGGTTTATTTAAAAACCTATCTGAAAGAAGCCTAGAACATACCAAACTGCCATGCGTGGGTGGCTCGAAGGTGGCAGCTTGAACCAGAAGAATGTAGTACTTGGCTTGAAGATGCAGGAACGCTTATGATGCATGAAAGAAAGTGTAAATACACTTTCAGAACTCCCTAGCAGTTAAATAGTCACAGCTTTTGTACAGAAAGATGAAATTGTTGGGTAATTTAGAAAAAACTAATTTATTTTCAAAATAAGTAATCCTCTTGTAGATTGAGAAAGATAGAAGATGGTTTCCCAGAAGATGGCTGCATACATGAACTGAATGGAATAAAAAAATACATCTGGAACCTGTTTTTTATAAAATGGACTCCACTTCAAAAGCGATTCTGCATCTGGTGTGAGAACCATACTCCGCATTTCTCTCACAAGGGTGGTACAAACAACTGCATGGACTCCACTGACAGACTGAACACTGTTTGACAAGCACAGATCTGCACCACCACCTGTGGACTCCCAGGACTCCCAGTATTAGCAATCCATGCACTTACAATCTGCCTTATTTCTTTCTTAACTGAAATTGTTTGAGGAAGAAAAAAGAAATGCTTAAGGCTGTTAATCTACTTACTAACTTTTACTTTAAATAAATGCAACAAGAATGAGCACACACAGATACTCAGTAAGGCCACATGTCTTCCTATTACTTCAGATAGGAACTTGGTCTTACTGTCATTTGGGAATGCAATGACAGAAAGTGAACTTAAACAAAATTAAAAAATACATTTAATCCTAACTCATCTTGCTGCAGATAGAAATTTATGGCCCAAGAGAAGCCATTTTCCAGTTTCAAAATTACACCCACACATTTATGAAGTCATTACTCAGCTGTAAAAACAGGTAGGAGGTTTAGACCAGAGCTGCTCTGCATGATCATACTTTACAAAGCATCCTGGCCTTATGAGTAATATTAGGTAAAAACTTTTATTGAACTTGTATTTTAAATAAATGTACAGTCTATGTTCTTATAGTTTTGGATTGACTATGACAGTTAAAATTTGATTCATGAAAAAATCTGGACAAAAATAAAAAACGAGACATAAAAAAATCCATCATCATTACTCAGGGCAAGTGAAATACGGAAAAATGAATTACCACAGTAGTATCCTATTTTTATTTCCATTTTGAGTGAGAACACAGTTTCAAATTGGGACAATTACTTTAGTTTTTAATTACAAGAACTGAAATAAATAACAAAGCAAAAAATGGACGATGGAATCTGAAGTCTTCACTGCTTATGAGCTAGTGACTTGAATGATTTCCTCGCTTCAGCTCTCTCCTCATAGAAATCCTCCATTTTATTCATCCACACAGCAAAGAAATTAATCACTCTGCTACCTCCTCAAACCAATTCCTATTCCTAACCCTATTCTTTCTCCCATCCTGGCTATTATCAAATTAATTTGCTTTCAACTATTCCAAAGTAATGGGTTTTTAAGAATTTATCTCTGAAATTATTAATCCCTGAAATTCTCTGACTTGAGCAGCACTAAAGAAAGGAGAATCAGTGGGTAAAAGAATGGGAGCCCAGGGAAAGCAGCAAAGCCAAAGAGACTGTGGGACGACACAGCCCTGCCTGGTTCAGCTGTCAAATGCCAAGAAGGCAGAGTGCTCTCTCTACTGATAAATGAAATTGTAGCTACTACCAAGCATATCTGTTATCTTGAGTAGGATGTTCTACCAGATAAGGCAGCAATACACTACAGCTACACTGCACCTACCCTAGTATCCAGGCTATAACATAGTGTCTGTAACACTTTACAGTGCTTTGAAAACACAGCCTCTACCAAAAAACTGGCCAAATGTTTCAAAGTTGGCATGCATTAATTTAACAATCTGCAACAGATTTCTTCAGTAGATCAGAACGTAAATTTGAGATACCAAGTCTGATATTCAGAAATACTCCTTAACTTTTTCAGCATGATCTGTTAGATTTTGCAGTGCTATCTAGGAGTACCAGAATGGCATTGTGTTTTTTACTTCCCAGACTGATCCTCTTATTTGCTACTATACAGTAATTGCAACATAGCAATACAGAAGAGAAGTCATTGCTCATAGCATGCAATGCAAAATGGCTGTATGCAATGGGAAGTCTAGATGGAGAAACTAGTGCTAATTAGATTCTTCTGTCATCTAATTACACACAGTTGAGTTGATTTTCATGGACCTTTACTGTTTTAAGGATCAAAAAAATTAAATAATTTTATTTTCCTGACATCCTAAATCCAAATTCCAGGAAGAGAGACATTTTCAGCTATATATTCAGGAGGTAATGAATAAATGAATCTGTATCAGTAGCAAGAGCTAATATAGTAGCTGGAAACACTGCACTAATTAAAAAAAATATAAGTATCTTTTAATTAACATAAGTTAATTGAACTTAATTGAACTAGTGAATAGTTTGTAACAAATGCTAAGGATCAACAAGACAGGAAGCACCACTCATGTCACACGAGCTGGCCTCATCCTGCTCCTTGGGCAGGATCATTCTGATGTGAGTAGACCTGTGTGCTTCCAGGTTTGGCTACAGCCTGGTTGCTGCTCCTAGCTCTGGTCAAGACTAGGCACTCCTACATGCAGATCTATTGACCCTTCCCTGGCAGCAATCCTCTTGGTTGATTAAAGAGTCAGTGCCAGAGCTCTCCCAAATCCACACCAGTTTGGGAACATTTTACTGGAGTCCAGAGACTTCAGAAGCTCTATTTCTGTGTAAGTCTTTCAGAGAATACATGGTGTATGAGCATAAAACTTAAAAAAAGAAAAAAAAAGGCATTTCTTTAATAGAAGACACTTTACCCTTGAAATCCAAAGAGAATAATGAAATCTTTAGAAAAACAGTAGACATGCTGAATGAAACCCCTTGTAGACTCCATTTGCCTGCAAGGCTAGGAATTTGATGAGTAAGCATAAACCCTCATCACCTTCTTGGCCTCAGTCTCTTTCTTCTTTCTTTCTTAGAAAAAAAGAAAATGTATTTTTTTAACAGAATTCCCACTTCTCTTTCATTTTAAATCTGATATGTGTTTCACCCTAAGACTTGGCAGCTCTCTTCCCCTGCCAGCCTCAGCTGTAACATTTATTCTTCTTGCAAGTGAACTATTGAAACAGCTCGAAAATTTACAGTCTTTATGACACCTCTGTTGTTAACTCTAACCAAACAGGGCTGTATCTTACCATTCACATATAATTTAAGGCCACACAGCAACCTGTAGATGTTCTGTGGAGATATCTAATGGAACACCAAAATCAGAATAAGCTTGCAATGAGTTGGTATGGCCCTTATGCTCTTTATGTTATAAAACCTAAATATCATTTAAGACAGTAGACATGGCTGTTTCAGACTCTCTCATCTGGTTGTTTCTTCATGCAATTCCATTTCCTTGGGATTTTTCAAGAGTCTAAAACATGATTTCTGGTGAAACAAAATATTGTATTTAATCTGAAAGAAAACATTTTGTTTTTACCACTTCCTTTTGATTGGTAATTTATTTCAGCCACTGAACTGAACATTCAGGTTTTTTTAATAGTCCTACCTACAACTAAAAATGCCTTATTAAAGAAAATAATTTATCCAAGCCATGTACTATTTCATATCAATGAGATTTTGTGGCAAAGAAACCCCTGGTTGATTGAACTAATAAAATAGAAGCAATAAAAATGAGACCATTAATATGATGGTGATCTTATATGCTACTAGCACTGTACATGTGGAGTAACCTTGAGTAGCAGCAATTTAGTTTTGCAGTGATTATACCCCAGCTCTGGTAATACATACATCATCTCCTTATTAGTTCGTAACGGGACAAATGGCTACGTGCACACCTGTGAGCTTAAGCCAGTAGGTTCACATCCCGCAGACAACCTCCCCCTGCTTATGAGAGTAAACACAGTCATGACTCTCCACAATGTTCTGTGTTAGATAACATTAGCTCCCTACACATGAGAGCAATGGTGGTTTCATGAAAAGATGCTGGATGGGAGAGGGAGTAAAGAAACATTTTCTGCAAGTATAAACTATATGTAGCTGATGCTCAAGGCACACATAAAGGAAGACAGAGTATCAGGAAAAAGAACTCTTTTAAAGAAAAAACACTGGGAAATCGAGTGTAGGGACTAAACCTGCAGTTGCAGGGAGCTGGAACAGGTGATTGTTAATTGGAAGCAGAGTTTTCGGTGATCTTATGCAAAGCTCTTGAATTTCTCTTTTGTGGGAAGACCATCATTGTATTTCCTAGAAATGGGGCAAATGAGGGCTTCCTTTAGCTTGGTTCTTTTTGAGAAACACCTGGAAAAAATTCCTAGGACCATCCAAATTCTGTCAGGCCAATAAACATGTTTTATCATTCTGCATAATCAAGAAAGCCAAGAAGCTTATTGGGAGGACCCCATCGTCCCAAACTAAAAGCATAATATCACTCCATTCATAATGAACTACCAAATAGCCATTCCTTCTGGCAGCTATTAATGGTATCATCATATTGAGCTGGAAGGTCAAAATTAAACTAACTTCCTTCATCCTCTTTTAGGATAATTTAGATTTCAGCACAGTCATTCATATTTCCTGATGCCCAGATGCAAAATAATATTTAAAAAAATGCACCAGGGTAGACCTCTGAGACACTGAATTATCTTTTTTTTTCCCTTAAAACACTCTTGTCTATGTCAAGTACATTGCATCCTGTGTTCCTATGTTTTTTACAATGTCATAAAATTCTACAGTAAGAATTAGTTGTCAAGAGAAAACTCAGATTAACTCAGTCATCTGATTAACACTAACTTCTCAGTTCTCAAATGTGTACTAAAATATAAAGACCATTAATATAGAGTTGTTAGTATAAAGCTACAAAGGATTAATAGCTTTGGGAGTAGTTTTTCCTATAAGCTTGTTTCCAGTTGTGTCTGAGAATCAGATGAAAAAAAATCATTCTTGGTCATAGGCTGAAAATAGATTATGAAAAACGGAGGTAAAGGAGGATGGACAGGAATCCACTATTTCTGAAATTCAGAGATTTGTAATAGTTGGCTGAAATAAGTCTCCAGAGCTAGAAAGGTTCTGTGAAATAATTAAGGAAACAGGACTTCATAAATCATTTTGTCCAACTTGTTCTGTGTTGAACTAACTGGTGCAGTTGTTCTTTTAAGGCAGACTACACAACTGCCATTTCATTTGTTGAAATTTCTGGAAATTGTAGAAAAATATCAGACATACAGTGAATTCATTATGAGTTTGGAAACTATTTTTCTTTCTGCATAATAAAAGAATATGAAATGAAAACAATTAGACTCTGTAATATTATTCAGTAATGATGAATCTAAAAATAGGTAAACTATCCAATTAAAAAGTGACACTATTCACGCCATATGAATAATATATTTTTCATCTGTGTCAAATTTGATGTTGACCATAAGTAGCATGAATTTAGGTTTTTTTGTATTACCTTGGCCTGATACATTGATCCTACTTACTTCAAGGTCTTCAACCCTGTGGCAGCTGAAATTGAGGCCACAGTAAAATAGAAAGCTGTGCTTAAATTTCAAAGAAGTGTTGAATGTTGCATTCATCCTTTACACTACCCTTATTTAGAGTTCAGGAGTTTGGTTAGTTGTGTTTTCCAAGAAAGCCATGAGTATTCTATAGTGCCATGATAGCAACCATACAATACAATTAAAATATGAAAGTCTGCCTTTAATGTATTACAGTATAAATGACCCATGACTGTATTTTACATGGGTATCCTAAATTCAGTTACTGAACCTCTGGAAGAAATAACTTTGATTATCTTTCGGGCATAATCAATTGGTTTTGCTTTTTCTTTTTAGTAGAAACAAAAGACTATTTTTGATCTTTTGTGCCTCAAAACTCTTGAGTAATAATACTTCTTAAACACAGCAAGTGTCCACTTGTAATATTCATAACTGAGTAGTTGGGGGGTTGCTATCTTAATCTATTTACTGACACAAGAAAGGCAAAAAACTTGTATACACTAACAAAAGCATTTCTTCTACCTGTTTCCTCTCCTTTAGTAACAACTAATACTCTTACAGCTTCCCACATGCAAAAGCAAGAATTTCTTTTCATTGAACATTAACATTTTCAAATTCAAACCAAGTGTCCTAGCAGTATGAAACAGGTTTAATATTTTCAGTTAGCTCTAATATATTACATGCATATGTAATGAGAACAAAGGAAGTGAGATAAATCAGAAACTGTTTTGCAACTTCCGTGGTCGTTACTAGTCCAAGACTGGTAACCACTGTGTAACAGGCTAGGCTGGCTTTTCTAACAGCAGAGGAGTGGGATCTAACATCACGTGTTACAACAGATGTGGAAGTTTCTAAATTTACAAACCTGATTACACCTGTTACAATTTACAAACTACATGAGAAAAGTATCTCAGTTTATCACAACTAGACTAATGTGATTTTGTTTAAAAAAGGAAAAAAGGGAAAGGTAATAATTCAGATGTTAACCACTTTACATTTCCCCAAAAACTTAAGGACAATCAGAAGATGAAGGAAGCTGTTGTTTGTTGGATTTTTACCTCATTGATAAAACAAAGCTATCTGTACTCCTTCACTTCCCATAAGTTTTGGAAAAAATAAACTTTTTAACATCACCACAGCATGAGTGTTTCATAGATACTACTGAAATCTGTTTCTGTAACACTCCTGCAAGATGAAGTATTATCACCTTAATGTACTTTTATATGGAAAAAAAAACCAATCATGTCCCCAAAACACAGCTGAAAAATGTACAGGAAATAGAGAAAGATGTTCATTTTACACAATGAGGAAACAAAATACACACAATGTTGAGTTCTAGCTAACTAAAGAAGAACCATCTATTCTATGGAAGAGGGTATAATGAAAAAACATGATGATGCAATTTAGCCTGTTTCATAATGCATATGTACAGAGGAGACAATTTCAATCATGGGGCATTATAGTGGCAGTCAGACTTGTTATAGTTTTTCTGATAATCACTGGGAAATGTGAATTCATCAGTAAGTGAGGTATTCAGTATAAACAGGCTTGTTTTCATTGAGTGGAATGCAGGCAGGTTTCCTCTGAAAGCAGCTCTGTTTCCTGTTGGTTAACATGCATAACTCATTGAAGACCACCAGACTCTTCAGTCAGAGGAAGCTTAGCCATGGGGATTCCAGTTCCCCAGCCTGCAAGACTGGCAAGCTTACAGCTCTGTGGTAGACAGACCAAGCAAAGTATGTTAGGTCCACAACTTATGAAGCACTAGGCTTCCTGGGCAGTTGCCTAAAGTATACCAGGCTCTGGCTAAAGTGGATGCCCACAGCCATTAGTCAGAGGAAAAAGCTGGTCAAAGAGCCCTGCAGCTCTTCAAGGTTCTCCCAGCAGAGGCCCCAGGATCCTCCACCACTAGATCAGAAGCTCCAAGGCCTCATTTAAGGGGATTCTTAGGCTTTAGATGTGGAGTGGGGAAACTATTTAAGAGGTAGACAGGTTGGGTAAACAGCCAGTCAAGAGTCTAGAAACCCACAGACTTCATAAAATTGATTTCTTTACTTTTTCTTTATTTGCTTCTTACTAATTCCTGCCTCAGCTCTATGTGTCAAAAAACTTCCTATTATTTTAGC